TAATTTAGAGAATACTTTTCAAACATGAAATCAGAACTTGCCCGTGTTGTCATGGGAAAAGGATAAGAATAAAGAACGTCCAATAAAAACTAAATGAAGAACACCATGATAAAAAAAGACAAACAGCAAAATACAAAGTATAACAACAGATAACTACAGATTGAGCACGAACCCTACAAAAATAAAAGTACTGAAGTACTGAACATCGGATGACCGCAAGTTCTGGTGGATGTTCACAAGCACTTGTTTCAGAAAAAAAATCACATCTCTATACCTGAAAGTTAGGTTAAGGTACATATAGACATATTTTTTTTTGGATACAAGTTCCTGTGTAGATAATGAATAAATGACAGGGAATTCAACATCACCGTAATAACTATTATATTGTAGTGATATAATCATTTGTTATCAGTATACTCTGGTTTGTTGTTATATATTATATTAATATTTGTATAACAGTTATATATATCATTTTCATCCATTTGTATATCATTCTATTCTACTATTCTAATGATAGTGCAGTGCAAGTGCATGGTGGACACTCTTCTGTAATAATTTTAGTTTTTCTAATAGATTGGATTTGAGTAGGCATTCATATTGTCCCGCGTTTGTTGCAAAACGTTCTTGAGATATTCTTCCGCATGCGTTAACACAAATTTTCGGTATTCTTGATTTGTTATTGATATATATTTTTTTCACGACAAAACATTTTCATATCATTATCTATGTTCCTTAAAAAATATTTTCATGAATATTTATTGATGAAATTAAAATATAACAAGCGATGAGGAATGTTATTTTACATTTGATAGTATACGAAATACGTTCGGTTATCAGTCAAAAACGCAAGTCACGTGGGTAGAAATGTCTGTGGCAACATAACACCGGAATGCCCTCACGGTCATCCGCTGTAAAAACGAACAAAGAATCAAAAATATAAACATATTCCATAGGTATTTTAATCATAGCAAGCAACCATCTTTGTTGGTCGGTTGTAGCATAACTTCATCCAATTTCAAGAGACCACCAAAAAAGGACTAATAAAAACCATTTTTCCTTGTATATACTCTTAGTGCTATGCACTCTATGCCGCGTGATTACATATCAAATATTTATTTGACCCAAAATATATCATAGTGTCGGATAGTTTTGTTTGATATCTATAACTGTTTTTAATTTTATATTAAGTTTACTTTATTTATAATAAAAGTTCCATATCTTGATTTAATTTGAATATTGAATACGGGTTAAAATTATTTAATTGCATTAATATTGGTATCAAAACATCCGGGCACTAGATCTGAGAAAGAAAGAAACCCTGTTACACTTCGTAATAATATTATCTTGGCATGCCATGCTTGATAGAGGTGCGGACTGAAAGAAATAGCTTTTCACCAAAGCGTCAACGGAGATTACATTCCACGGAGGTTGCATTTCAACGATTTCGTCATTTAAAAAACAAAATACGTGTATCTAAAGGGAAAAATTGTATTAAAGTTTAATGTTAACACCGATATCGATCTGCATGTTGGATGTATAATTTATTTTCAAAATGTGTGTTTGTTTAGAATCCACCATTCCACGGAGATTACATGCTTAACAAATCTCTGCAGTTTTCCCCTTTGTTTATTTCTCATAAACTGATATGATTTTGATTGAATGATTATTGTTATATACATAATTATTTATGGTACATGTAACCTTAAAATCAAATTTAACTCATATGACGCTCTATGCAAAAGCCAATGCTAAATATATGTTTTCCTGCTTGAGTTTTTTCACCCGTAAACGAGAATTACAGGTTTACGAAGGAAACATTATGACGGCCTGAACGATCACTATCGATCGTTATGCAATATGTATTAAACTTTATAAAAAATTAAAAATATAGATAATAAAGAAATATAAAAATCTCAGCTAGAAATATAACAAGCCATGACTATATAACTCGAAGTCGTTATATCAGTGGGTCTGGAAGGGGGTCCTTCATTTCTGTATTCTTTAATTTTTTAGGTCATTTTTCTCTATTCTTTATACTTTTTGTCCATTATTCTCTATTCTTTATTTTTTTGTTCATTTTTCTCTATTTTTTATATATTTTGCCAATTATTCTCTATTCTGTAAACCCCCATCCACACCCTCATAGCAGTGTCATAAAATGGGCCCTTTATCGTGTACAAATCCCTGTCTTTTTAATGTATTCGTGATGGCAGCAGGACATTTTTTCTGTGTTTTATTTTAAAGTTGCATCTGTAAACTTTGTCGAAGTAGTAAACCATGAAATTATCAGTCGTCCAAAACCAAAATTGAAATGTTTTATCCAGCGCACATCTGAAGGCAATTATTTAATTGAAGACTATAGGAAGTCCACGCCGGCTATTCCGGATGAAATAATTAAAAAAAATATATGTAACAGCCAATAAAAATTCAATATCTCTTACTTTTCACGATTTTGAGCCTCTTTCAAATGCAGATGTTGGTTAAGTTCGCCTAAACGAAAACAACTGGATGAGTTCGTTGAACATTGTTTGCCGAATGCATTAGATGACGAGTCAAATCCTTTCCAACTCTTTTATAGTCAATTCTTATCTTGTGTTTTTTCACCACCGTTGGGTATAGGATTGACTTGCAAACATGTTTGACCCTTGTTGACAATGTTTTCTCGGGGTAACAATCTGCTCTAGCACCCTCTATTCTATGTGATATTTATATATTGGCATATTTTTTTTAACATGCATATTATTATTCACATACGAAACATGTTTATACATGCACATTTTTTTCGCAACGAATCGTATAGTATAAAAAAGTGTACAGATAACGAAGTGTACACAATTTGAAAATAAAGACATGTTACCACATCTTCTTATATCTATGTTAAAACATGCATTTTTTTTTTTTAGATAAAACAAAAACCTACAGTCTTTACAGTATTTACAAGTTTGATAAGTCTAAACGATAATATTATCAAAAATAAAATTGAGAATGGAAATAGGGAATGTGTCAAAGATACAACAACCCGACCAAAGAGCAGAAAACAGCGCAAGGCCACCAATGGGTCTTCAACACAGCGAGAAAATCTTCAGCTGGCCCCTAAACAAAAATGTGTACTAGTTCAGTGATAATGGACGTCATACTAAACTACAAAACATATAAATAAACTAAAATCAAAAATCATACAAGACTAACAAAGGGCAGAGGCTCCTGGCTTGGGACAGGCGGAAAAATGCGGCGGGGTTAAACATGTTTTGTGAGATCTCAACCCTCCACCTATACCACTAGCCAATGTAGAAAAAACAAACACACATCAAAACGCACAGTAAAACTCAGTTTAAAAGAAGTCCGAGTCCGATGTCAGAATAAGTAAACAAAAGAAACTAAGCAAAATGACAACGATACATAAATTAACAAAGGACTACTATAGCAGTTACTGACATGCCAACTCCAGACCTCAATTAAACTGATTGAAAGATTATGTCTTCATCATATGAAAATCAAGCACAATCCCTCCCGTTAGGGGTTTAGTATCATACCATCATAAAATATATGAAAAGAACATAACCCGTATCATGCCAACAACTGGTTTTAGAATAAATGTGTTTATTTCCGATGCAAAGACCCTATATGAGTGAATCAATATAAAACCAAAATATGCCATCTTTAATGACCTGACAACAGTATCGTAATTATATCCCTTCTTAATAAGTCTGTTTAAAGGTTTGGTTAGCTTTTGAGGTGAATGCCGACATTTTTGTGCTTTGTAAAGAATATTACCATAAAAGATTGGATGTGAAATACCTGAACGTATGTATGTTTAAAAATAAGAGCACAGGAAGTTTGAAATTCATACTGATTATCAAAAGTAGTGTGCATGCCTGTATCAGTGGCAAGGTCGTGCTTTTTTTCTTCTTATTAAATTTGCGTATAAAAATATCAAATATTTAAAAAAACAAATTGCAGTAAGAAATGAGTAAAACAAATTGCAGTAAGAAATGAGTAAAACAAAGTATTGTAACAGGGGAAGGTCCCAGTAAACGGTGGGGTTCGGTAGGGACTAGTCCTGGACCGTGTAATGGAATACCCGTCCTGGTTCGTATCTCTCGGATGCTTGTATAGGCTTTAAAAACAAAGATTTTAAAGTACAACTTTTATTATAACATAGTACAAAATTAATCAGCATCAAATAACAAATTCTACTTATTTATTTTATTTATCTTACTTTAAACCAGGGTTCGTGTGACAGTTGACCTACCGGGAGTATCTATAAAAATATCCTCACAAAATTTATCTAACAAAAAGGAGGCTATAAACTACAAAATTGCGCATGTTTAAATACCATTATAATGGATTGAAATAATCCTCTCTGGTACTGTATATATTTACGCAAAATATCCGAAGAATAAATATTGTAAACTTCTCCTCTGTCTGGACTCCGTGGTACACGGTGTCACTGTGTACGATTAGAACGCGTCAACGTCCGGATTAATTTGTATCGGGGTTATACGGGGTGTAAATATATTTTCGTACTTTTTTTATGTATCCGCCAAAGATGGAGTTATTTTGAAAGTTAAACCTTTCATATTCCACGCATACATTTTTTATTTTGTTTAGCCAATTATGACACCTAATGCTGAGCATAGTATATAAAAAGGTAAACTATACACATACCAACAGAGGTACAAAATACAATATATATTGCCGCTCTGATATCAAACACGTTAAATATTTTATTAACAGTGCCATGATTAGTAAGAATGCAATAGAAAAGTTTGCAGTGATAGCTAATCTTCCATGATCACTGAGTTGAGTCCCTCAAAACATAAAAATAAGATAAACAATATACATTTGTAAAAAATCTACAATAAAGCTAGTGTCGACAAAACTAGTTTCGCAAATATAAAAAAAAATCCATATATGAATTTTACAAAAAAAACCCATACATTTCTTTGAAATAGCGGGTGAAGGGAGATAATTTAAATTTACTAAAAAGTTCTCGAGTGTGGAGGTTTGATCAGATAGGGCGAGAAAATGTCGAAGGATGACTCGCCAGGTAAACGAGAAAATACCTGATTTTATTCATGCGAAAAGTTAAATTTAGACATGAACTGCATTTCTGAAGAATGATTTCTGTCAGGGAGCAGGAACGAATTTGTGCTAAGTGTTCTAAAGGAATAGAAAGCGAATGTTACGTGCAAGCTTTGAATTTTGATTGGCATCAAACCTGCTTCAGGTAAATGTAAACATGATTTGTTAACACAAAATATATCAGATTTGAGAGAAATCAAGGTCTAATTTGTAACACCTAATTGTTTGATCTTTTAGAATCAATAAATTTATTGACAGGTATAAGGTATCAGAGACATGTCTCTGAACAATGCTGAAGGTACATGTATCTACAAAATGATCTTCTTCCTTGTTTGATATGGACCAACAGTTTTGGATACATGTACTATATATATTGTTGTTATATTCGATGAAAAGCTCATTAGAGCTGACGTTTAAATTGTTTGCCAATATGCTGAATCAAAATAAAGTTTTACTTACATACTTAATACTTATGTATACATATAAAAAAAATAGGAATGTTCAGCTGGCTTGAAATGTCAGTCTTCACAAAAACTTTTTGACATGCATGCCCGAAAATCATTCTTAAAATTTCTTTAAACTTATATGGCTTGTGAGCTCGAGACTCCTTTACTGGCGTGGGTTACAAGTAGGGTGGTTAATTGTGAAGATTGAATTGTTGTATTCAGGAATGGAATTTTTTCGATTCCCGTAGTTCCTGAACTTTATAACTATAAGCCCACAGAGCTAAAAGGTTTTGAATATCAAAGGGTGATCAGCTCGGTTAAACTTTTTGAGTCCATGTCATTCAATGTACTATCATTTAAAATGTGATGAATTTTGGAGAAAATATCATATTAGGCATACAAAAAAATATGTGTGTTTAGGGTTTCCTGACCAACCCTAATTTAGAGCGCTGACCCTAACCTTTCTATGATTATTTCTTCAAAACATTTTATTTAGATAAAAGATATTATTTGTTGCAACTGCTAACTTATTTCATTAAAATACAGGACAGAAAGGACTCAAAACATGTTAAAATCACAATTCTGTTCATTGACAAACTACAAATTGCACAGTTTCCGGTTAGCAAACGTTAATACTATAACTGGACTTGGTGAATTTTCCAGATTTTGACCAAAAAATAAAAATAAACAATTATTTTAGACCAATTGACCATATATTTTTTGGGAAGGAAACCCTAAACACACATATTTTTTTTATTTGCATGTCAGATGAATATATATCTTATTAACAATAATAAGACTGTGTTCTCCCTACAAATTTCGTATATATATGTAGCATCCTGGTAAACAGGCAATTTTTAAATATGGTCTTGATTCTAAATATTATAGCATGACATCTATAACACAATAAATTTAATGGAAAATCAGTTCAGATAGCATCATATTCAAACTATATAGCTACACTTTACAATGATATCAGATGCTAAAAGGCCCTGGGGAGAACACTAATAAAAGGATATAAATTTGTAAAATGGCAAATATATTATTATGATTACATACAATGTATGTTATGTATTTTTAGATTCACAAATGGGTAGCTATGCCCCTGAACATACTCTGGCTTTTTTGTATCAATTATATCAGTATGTACAAATTTATGATTGTAATTGTTCGTAGGGGGTCTCATTAAGCAGCATATAACTGGTATTCACCTGTTCAGTACAATTGACCTTTAAATCGACCTTATTATTTAGTAAATCAAATGATATAATTTAAAGCTCCCTGTATTTTGACGTCACCAATGTGACCATACCCATGTCATATCTTTAGTGAATGTTTTCATTGATGTAACTTCTTTGTAAGCCTATAAACTTGAAAACAGATAAGATTTTTATTTCAAATAATATAAACATTTTGTTTGCTTTTTGAAGTGTTGTCAATGTCAATTGATCATAACTTCAACTATCTTGCACATTTTTAAAGTCGACTGGGTTTCTGGGCCAGAGACCTATAAAATTAAAATCAAATTCTGTTGATTTTAGTCTTGAGGTGCTTTGCACTAATTATACCATGGGTTCTTTTATTGCATTTTTCATTCATATCAGATCAGATTTTTTTTAATGATTTATTATTAATTATCATAAAAAAATTACAAGAAGGATGAAGTTAGTTTTCTCGTTTGAATTGTTTTACATTTGTCGTTTCGGGGCCTTTTATAGCTGACTATGCGGTATGGGCTTTGCTCATTGTTGAAGGCCGTACGGTGACCTATAGTTGTTAATTTCTGTGTCATTTGGTCTCTTGCACATTTTCTTATTTTTATATTGAAACTTAGTACACACTTTTGTTATGATGTGAAGTTGTGAACTTTAAAAAAATGTATGCTTAATTAGGGTTTTGATTCTGAATTCACAGTGTTAACTGTGTCATTTACTGATAAGGTTAAACATTTGGTTAAAGGTACATTGTAAATGTTGTGGTTGAGAGTACATTGTACATGTTGTGGTTGAAGGTACATTGTACATGTTGTGGTTAAAGGTACATTGTACATGTTGTGGTTGAGAGTACATTGTACATGTTGTGGTTAAAGGTACATTGTACATGTTGTGGTTAAAGGTACATTGTACATGTTGTGGTTAAAGGTACATTGTACATGTTGTGGTTAAAGGTACATTGTACATGTTGTGGTTAAAGGTACATTGTACATGTGGTTAAAGGTACATTGTACATGTTGTGGGTGAAGGTACATTGTACATGTTGTGGGTGAAGGTACATTGTACATGTTGTGGGTGAAGGTACATTGTACATGTTGTGGGTGAAGGTACATTGTACATGTTGTGGTTAAAGGTACATTGTACATGTTGTGGTTAAAGGTACATTGTACATGTTGTGGGTGAAGGTACATTGTACATGTTGTGGGTGAAGGTACATTGTACATGTTGTGGGTGAAGGTACATTGTACATGTTGTGGTTAAAGGTACATTGTACATGTTGTGGTTAAAGGTACATTGTACATGTTGTGGGTGAAGGTACATTGTACATGTTGTGGGTGAAGGTACATTGTACATGTTGTGGTTAAAGGTACATTGTACATGTTGTGGGTGAAGGTACATAGTACATGTTGTGGGTGAAGGTACATTGTACATGTTGTGGTTAAAGGTACATTGTACATGTTGTGGTTAAAGGTACATTGTACATGTTGTGGGTGAAGGTACATTGTACATGTTGTGGGTGAAGGTACATTGTACATGTTGTGGTTAAAGGTACATTGTACATGTTGTGGGTGAAGGTACATTGTACATGTTGTGGGTGAATGTACATTGTACATGTTGTGGTTAAAGGTACATTGTACATGTTGTGGTTAAAGGTACATTGTACATGTTGTGGTTAAAGGTACATTGTACATGTTGTGGGTGAAGGTACATTGTACATGTTGTGGTTAAAGGTACATTGTACATGTTGTGGTTAAAGGTACATTGTACATGTTGTGGTTAAAGGTACATTGTACATGTTGTGGGTGAAGGTACATTGTACATGTTGTGGGTGAAGGTACATTGTACATGTTGTGGTTGAAGGTACATTGTACATGTTGTGGTTAAAGGTACATTGTACATGTTGTGGGTGAAGGTACATTGTACATGTTGTGGGTGAAGGTACATTGTACATGTTGTGGTTAAAGGTACATTGTACATGTTGTGGGTGAAGGTACATTGTACATGTTGTGGGTGAAGGTACATTGTACATGTTGTGGTTAAAGGTACATTGTACATGTTGTGGTTAAAGGTACATTGTACATGTTGTGGGTGAAGGTACATTGTACATGTTGTGGGTGAAGGTACATTGTACATGTTGTGGTTAAAGTTACATTGTATATGTTGTGGTTAAAGGTACATTGTACATGTTGTGGGTGAAGGTACATTGTACATGTTGTGGGTGAAGGTACATTGTACATGTTGTGGTTAAAGGTACATTGTACATGTTGTGGGTGAAGGTACATTGTACATGTTGTGGGTGAAGGTACATTGTACATGTTGTGGTTAAAGGTACATTGTACATGTTGTGGTTAAAGGTACATTGTACATGTTGTGGGTGAAGGTACATTGTACATGTTGTGGGTGAAGGTACATTGTACATGTTGTGGTTGAGAGTACATTGTAGGTACATTTGTACATGTGTAACCATGAAGTTGTTACCAGTCACATCAACTTAGTACACATCTTCATTACTTACGTTGTGAACTTTTTAAACTATATATACATTGTACACGTACATGTATATATGCCAAATTATGACTTTGACCCAGATTTCGAAGTTCATAGACTAATATGGTATGGGTCTTGCTCATTGTTGAAGGCCGTACATTGCTTCAATCCACTCGATTTGGTCTCTGCTGGATAGTTGACTACATTGTAATTCATACCACATCTCAATAGTCATTTTAGTGTTCTTTTCACTGTTAAAATTTTAGGAATCAATTAATATGCATTTATTTCCCAAAATTAAATATGTTTTTGGAAGTCTTTAATGCTTAGTACTAATAGACCTAAACAATTACATTCTGGCATAGATTTAATTAACTAATCTACAACTGATTACTGGCTTCCAAGAATTTTATTTTGCAACCTTTTTGATTACTCATTAGTTTACATGTAGTTATCAGGTTAAGTAAAGTTTGTCATGTTTCAGTGAAAATTTTAAACATTCAGTCAACAAATTTCTACCTATCCCTGTTTTAAATTATTTTTGTTTTCATACACAATAGTGAATTATGTTTGTACAATTCCCTGTTATGTAGTTTTAAATGTGTGTCGGGTACAAAATGGATATAACCGGGTCCATGTTTAATTTAATCTTTTTATTTATTTACACCTGGTCAGGTCCTAAACTGAGATAAACAATAACAAGCTCTTCATATCTAATTACATACATGTAGTTGACAGATTTAAGTATTGGGGCCAGTATCAGATACTTGTTATAGACCTCAATTAACATTATCACACCTGCTACGGAATAACTTGTTTAGTAGCAGTTACATATAATTAACATTCTTATGCTGTACGTGTTTTAAGAAATTAAAGTTTTAAAAACATGCTCGTCTACGTATGTAGAAGTCAGAACATATCAAATTAAATAAATAAACAGTTTTTGATTGTTTTACTATGTTTACATAATTGTGGTTTTGTTGCCAAATGGAAGTAGG